TAAAACCAATACAACTACAGCGAAAAGAAATAAAAAAAAAAAAAGTTAAAAAATAAATTTTGACGGTTTAAAACTGTTAACCCCGGAAAGGGGGGGAAGGAAGCATTTTGGGGGGGGGGGGGGTCAGTGTAGCTGAAAGGGTGAGCTATAAAGTTCAGTAAGAGTCCTGTCTTCCAAGAAAACAAAAACGAAAAGTGTAAAGAAGTGATTGCAGAAGACATACCAATGTCCTCTTCAGCTTCCACACTCATCCCCATGGACTAACACACTCAAACATGTATACACATACCATATACATACACCAAAAAAGGTTAAATGAGAAAAGTTAAATACTAAAATATGAAAATTTGTAAGGACCTCTGATTTAATATTTATGTAATAATTCATGTGAATGCTATAACAGAAAACTTTTGGAAATCTAAAGCATTCCATGGAGAAGTAGACAATAAAATTCTTTTTTGGCTGGGATTATAGCTCAGATGGTAGAGCAAGTGTGTGCCTAGCATACATGAGGCCCTGGGTTCAGTTCCTTCTGCGGACACATGCCATTTAAAAAAGAAAGAAAAAATTTTAAAATCCTTTTCCCTAGGGGACCTTTTAACCATGTATTTTTCTTGTGTGCATGTGTACATCTGTGGAGCGTGGGGGTGGGGGCAGCAAAGGACAACTTTGGTTATCATTCTCAGGATCACTGTCTACCTCATCTGAGATAAGATTGCTCATTAGCTGGAGGCATAACAGTTAGGCTTGACCAGCTGCCCAGAGAGCCCCAGAGATCCTCCTCTCTCTGCTTTCCCAGTGCTTGATTACAAGTTGTGACATTTTTACATGGGTTCCAGAGACTGGAGCTCAGGTCTGCTTACTTGCAAAGCAAGCGCTTTACCAACTGAGCCATCCCCAAGTCCTACAGTTTTTATTTTAGTTGACACGTAGTTATTGTGTATACTTAGAAAAGAGTGCTACTTTTCGGTACATGTGTACAGTAATGATTCAATCAGGGCAATTTGGCATATTCGTCACTTCAGGCATTTATCATTTCTTTGTGCCAGGAACATTAAAAATAGCCTGCACTAGCTATTTTGAAATATTTAGCTTATTCTTATTGACCATAATTATCATATTGTGATTAGACCAATAGAAATTATTTCTTCTAATCAGCTATACCTTTGTACACATTAACCATCTTCTTTAGGACCAATCATAACTGTAAAGAATTCAGGGATTTTGAATATTCTTTTGATCTTCTATTGAAATTTAACCCAAAATACCAGGATGCAGTATGATAGTGGTTAAAAACGTAGATCTGAATTTTGTTTTGTTTTTGTTTTTTTGTTTGTTTTTAGCATCAGGAGTGGGATCTAAACCCAAACCCTCAGCTCCATGGGATACATCTGAATTTGAATTTTGGCTTGTTAACCTCCTAGCCATGTGACTTTTTACAACTCATTGCATCAGACTCCTTGTCTATAAAATGGATCTTATAATAGCACTATTTTGTGGCTTCCTAAGGGAGACATAAACGTTTTTTTACCCCAAATAGAACACCAACTGCAGACAAACTAAAACAAAACTATACCAGGCAAGTCTATCCTGAGTTCTGGGAGGTTGCTTATGGGAGGAGGCATTGTGATTTGAAGGCAGCTTTATTACCAAAAAGCCCAACCCTGCTTGGGGTACAGTGCACTAAAACTGTCTGCCTGGAGCCCTGCCCAACTTGTAGGCAGCTCCACTGAAGTTCCTCTCCTGCAGTTGTTACTTCCTTTAAATACCTTGATGAGAGACCTTGTGTCTGTTTTAACTTCTGGAGCTTTTTTTTTACCCCAGTGTTTTTTTGAGACAGGGTCTCCCTGTAGCCCCAGCTGTCCTGGAACTCAGTATGTAGACCAGGCTGGTCTTGAACTCAAAGAGATCTGCCTGCCTCAGCCTCCCGAGTGCTGGGATTAAGTTTCATTAGTGTCTTAAATTTTATGACCCTTCCCCTCCAGGGAATGTTTCAGTTTGGGAAGAAACCTGTACAACTGGTACCTCCCTAGCTGTGTTATAGAAGGGATAAAATGACTTGAAATGTGACATGAATTTAATAGTTTTTTCTATTTTATGTATTAGCTATTACCTAGAAGCATTACTGAAACTAGATTTGCTAACTAAAGGTTTAGTTTTCTTTGGACTTGGAAAAAAGAGAACTCCCACCCTCTTTCCTCCCTCCCTTCAGGTTGGGAATAGAACCCAGGACCTTGCCAATCAATACTCAACAATTGCTTTACCTCTGACTTTACATACCCCCTAGTCAGAAGTAGCAAAATAATCCCTATAAATGCATTAGGCTAACAGATCTAGGGCGGTGCTTTTGAACATAGGAATAATGAGTAGTACTTTCTTAAGGTCCCTGGTAACAGCTGCATGGTAAAAATTTGGGGCTAGGTTAAATATTTGAACAATTTAAGTTTATTCCATTCATTTTTGGATTTTGTGGCCCTTTTACAGTTTTAAAATGACATTTTTCTCATGGTTCTATAAAGTTCTTTACAGAAATTTAGTATCTCAGTGACACAAGATTTGAAGACTTAACTGGGTCATATATTAAATTTTATTTGATTGACTTTGTTACTAATCTTTTCCAATTTGTAATGCTGCTGGGAAAAAAATCAACTGCTTTTCTCTTTTTCTTTTTAGCCCCATCTGCTTTGATATGATCGAGGAAGCGTACATGACAAAATGTGGCCACAGCTTTTGGTAAGATGATCTTTATTCAGCGTAAGTGTAGCCATGAGAAATTATGTTCTTTAATTTTATATTGTTTCTTTGACTGATGCGTCTTTATAGGTTTAATAATTCAAAAACATAAAATATGATTAGTACATAACTTCTGTAAAATACTTAGGTTTGCCAGAAGCCATTGATAGGAATTTTAAAGCTTTGTGCTTATTAACTGTTAATAGAAATAAAAACTTTGGTGCTTTAGAAGATCAGGAGTGGTAAGCAATCATTGTGTGAAATACCAGTTACGCGCTCACAGAAAGGTGGAAAGATCCATAAAGCAGGTGGACACAGATATGGGAAAAGATGGAGGGGATCAAAACGTTTTTTCTCTTCTTTAACACTTTTCTGACTATTGTCTTTAGATTATATTATGTCATATCGCTGTATTTAAATTTTTTAGTTGTGATAAAATAACAAAACATAGAATTGACAGTCTTAACCATCTTGATGTATACAGTTGAGTTGTTTTATGTTCATTTGTTATGCAGTCTCCAGAATTTGTTCTTTTTGCAAAACTAAACATGTATACCTACTAAAACAACTCCCCATTTTCCCTCTGCTGCAGTCCCTGAAAACCAATATACTGCTTTTGAATTTGACAGGACTAGATACCTCATATATGTGAATTTAATACAGTATTTGCCTTCTGATGAATGACTTCTGTCACAATACTGTCCTTTGTATTCCTGTTATGACGAAGTTCCTTTTTTAAGTCTGACTAATAATCTCTGTATGTGTATGCTATGTTTTGTTTAATCAGTCAGCCTCCATGGATAGTACGTTGCTTCCACTTCTTGTTTCCTGTGAATCATGAGGTTATGAGTGTGCATACACACAAATACTCCAGTAGGACTTGCTGTCAATTCTTTTTTTTTTTTTTTTTTCTTTTTGAGACAGGGTCTCCCTGTAGCCCCAGCTGTCCTAGAGCTCACTATGTAGACCAGGCCGGACTTGAACTCACAGAGGTCTGCCTGCCTCTGCCTCCCAAGTGCTGGGACTACAGGCGTGCGCCACCATTCCTGGCTGTATATACTAATAGGGAATTGTGGAATCATATAAGAATTTTGTTTTACACTTTTCAGGAAACACTATACATTTTCCACAGTTATATGCCATTTGATGTTCTCACCAGTGGTACGCAATTTATCCACATCCTTAGAAATACTTTTTTTTTCCTTCCTTTTTATTTTCTCATAGGTTTATAATCTGAATATATAAGCTACGTGTTTTTAATTCCCTCTTTTTACCTTTCTGTTGTTGTTTTACTGATTTATCCCAAAGGCTGTCTAAAAGGATCCAAGTAAAGAACCAGGTGTAGGAATACACAGGGTAAGGCAGGTGGGAAAGAACACAAAGCCTCTGACTCCTCTCCGGGCACTCCACCCTCTCAGCACCTCCACATGTTGAGCATCAGACAGATCTCTGCACCATCTTTTTGGGTTTTTTATGGAGGCTTCATTTAAGTTGCAGGGATTCATTGTCATTGGTCATTGGGAAATAACTCACCCTTCAGCCCCTTTCCCCTCCCTGGGAATGAGGTGGATTTGAAGTTGAAACCTCTGCCTAAATTGTTCATAGAGTTGGCATCCAGCCATCCTGAGGCTGCCTAGGATTCCCCAGGCATTAGATGTCTCATTTTACCTTTTATTTTTTGTGGAGGATTGGGGGTGACACTTACTACTGTGACCAGCCACCTTCATGAATTACTTAAATATTCTGTTGACATGTATTAGTTTCGCTTTAGTATTTCTGCTGTGTTCTAGTTGTTATTCTCTTAACTCATATTGAAGTTGGGCCTGTAATTTTATGTTGAAGATGGACATGATATATTGCAGGTAAATCTCCTTTTGTCATGAAGATAATGTGGTGTTAGCATCAGAGGGTGAGGCCTTTGGTGTGATTTAGAGCATGCTGTTTCAGTTATAGGTCTCTCCAAATCTGATAGTCACGTAAGGATTTTTGACTAAAGTAGCTTACTTGTACTACTTAGGTTCTTTATTAAAATAAAGTTAGAGCAGTATATATTCTTTGCTTAGAAGACCGACTTTTATTGTGCAGAGTGATGTAGTAATAAAATGCAGATGTCTCTTTTTCTCGAATCTTTTTCCTTTTCTCCATTCAGGAGTTTTCAATATTAAGGAATAATTTCATATTTTTTCAGAATTCTTTTGCCATGTTTTTCTTTTATTTCCTTTTTTACTTTTTTTTTTAATTCTTTCATGATTTATACATATATATAGTATACTTTTATCAGCCCTCTCATTGTAACAACTCCCCTCATCCCTACCAGTCCCTTTCCCAGGTTCATGTCTTTTTTTGTGGCCTACCGCATTTAATTGGGTTTGCTGTCTGAGCATGGATGCATGCTTATTTATTTGAACAAATATAACTTACAATGTCCACAACACTGAGGATTATGATTCCCTCTCCCCCAGCAACCATTAACTTTTTGCCTAGAGCTTCTCGAGGAAGAGTGGGGTCATAGTCCCTCACCCATGCATGATACAGTGTTGATGGGTCCTGTCTTGTGGAGTTCTCATGCAGGTAGCCACTACCACCGTGAGTACGTGAGTGCAGCAGTCATCTTACGTACAGAAGATAGCATTTCATAGCACGCAGTAATTACTTATTCTCAGCACTTTGACCAGTTATGTCAGAGTCTCCGCATTAGCTATTGCTTACTACCAAGAGAAGCTGCTCTGACCAAGGCTGAGAGAAGCAGTAATCTGGGGGTATGAACAAAAAAACTTAGAAAGACATATGACATCGTGTTCCTATAGCAGAACAGTGGTAGTAGGTTTCCCCTAGGGCCTATGACCTCCCCAGCCATGAGCTTTTTATTTTCCTCAGATGTATGGCTGATGAAGATCTTTCTCTCATTTGTACACTACCTCTTCACTCGATTGACAGTTTCCTTTGCTATACGAAAACGTTTAAATTTCATAATGTCCTATTTTTCAGTTGTTGGCCTCATTTCCTGAGCAACTGGAATCCTACTCAGAAAGTCCTTATCTGTGTTTATATCTTGAAGGGTTTTCACTACTTTTCCTCCAACAGTTTCAGAGTTGCAGGTCTTACATTAAGGTCTTTCATCTATTTGAAGTTGACTTTTGTGCAGGGTAAGAGAGAACAAGAATTTTATTTTTTTTTCCACTTTAGTGTGTTTTTATCATGTACATGTGTGCACGTGTGTATGTTTGCATGTATGGACACATGTATTTGCGCCCATGTATGTATGTGAATGATGTGGAAGGAGGCCTGGGGTTTAGCCTGCTTTTATCTTGGAATATCTGTGTTTGTTCAGTTATGATAGATTTTTGCTGAGTATGGTAACTTTAGTTGGTGGTTATGGTCTTTCAGACCTTGAAATATGTCATCCCATGCCCTTCTGGCTTTTAGAGATTCTATCGAAAACGTGGCTGTTTTTTTGCTTTTGTATATGACTTGATATTTCTCTCTTGAAGCTCTCAGTATACTTTCTTTGTTCTGTATATTTAGTATTTAACTGTAATATGTGAGAAATTTCTTTGGTTCTTCTATTTGGTGTTCTATGTGCCTCTTACACGTGGATGGGTCTCTTTTCCCCTAGATTCAAGAAATTTTCCGCTGTGATTGCATTAAAACTACTCTCTACCTTTTGCATAAAGTTCTTCTGTGCCAGTACTTTGTAGATTTGGTCTTTTCATGTTGCTTCTTTGCTTTAAAATGCTTACTGTTGTACTGAGTGTGCTAGTTCTACCTTGTCTTCAAGCCCTGATACTCCATCCTCCCCATGATCCGTTCTACTGGTGAGACTTTCCATTGAGCTTTTTGACTTTTTTTTTTTTAAGTTTTCATTTCTAAAATCATTTCAGTTTGAGTTTCTTCAGTATTTCTCTTTATTGATTTCCATTTTCATATTTTGCAGTGATTTCCTTATTTTGTTTGGCTATTTTCTCTTGGAATTAATTCAGGTGTTTATTCTTTGAACATATTTGTCATTTGAATTCTTTGGCTTTTCATCTGAGTCAGTCTCATTGGGATAATTTACTCTGGGATTCATAGATTTTTAGGGTACATGTTGTTTTGATTTTTCAGGTTACTTGTTTTTTTGCATTGGGATTTGTGCATCAGGAATTAGGTGTTACTATTTTTATTTAATCCATCTCTTTCAACTGGAAGTATTTGAAACTTTCAGGAGGGGACTAGGTTGTAGAGGATTGAGGTATCATTTTCCTCTTCAGTTCTGGAGTTCAAGGCACCAGGCTGTAGCCCTTGCTGTCCCCCAGAACAAGTCACTATTCAGGGGTAAACCCATCATGAAAATAGAGAGGAATGTTGACTAAACAACAATCATCACTTAAGTGGTGATCATTTTAGAGAGTAAAGAAGATATTAATTGCACTGGGCATACTAATATCTTAGATGTTGGGGTTATGAGAAAGGAAAAGGGAAAAAAGAAGATAAAACTACAGTAGAACTAGAGATCAGTAGTGGGCTGATAGAAAGTAAGGAGGGGAACTTAATTAGGGGAACCATAGGGACAAAAAGCAGTTGTGGGGGAGTGAGAGAATTTTGGCTAAATATAAAAATGCACTGTCAGATAACACAGACTCGTCCAATCTTTTAAAAAACGGGGTGGGGGGATAGGTTGGGCAAGAACAGAGCAGGGCCAAGGTGCCTGCTGGAATGACCTTGAGTATTAAACATAGACTATATGTAGAGGGAGAGAAAACTGGGCTTTCACACAGGAAATGAAAGGTAATTGGCCCGTGTGTGTGTGTGTGTGTGTGTGTGTGTGTCGTGTGTGTGTGCGTGTGTGTGTGCGCGCGTGCGCGTGCGCGTGCGTGTGCGTGTGCGTGTGTGTGTGTGTGTGTGTGTGTGTGTGTGTGTGTGTGTGTGTATGCTTTGTCTGAACTCTTACAGTTCTTCCCACCTGCCAGGAGGGACTCTCAATAGCCTGTCCCATTGATCAGATTACTATTGTAGTGCTT